CCATGGAGAATACATCACAATGGCACCAGCACTTAGGAGGAAACTGTACCTAGAAGCTAGATGCTAAATTAGGTGACCGAGTGCCTACAAGGCTGCTTTTATGACCATATGAAATTTATATGCTTTTACTTCCGTATTCTCGAAGTTTTGAGGGACATGGTTAAGGATATAAGAAGCTTGGTGACTTTCCTCTTGGAGCTTCCTGCAACTGAGCAAGATCTCATCCTGGAGAGTAAAAATACCATTGCCCAAACCCCCATGAGGAAGTGGGGGTGAGGAGGCACCCTAGAAGGGGGCTCACTAAATAGCCCCAGCCCAAAGTCCTCTTGTCATCACCCTAAAACAGAAGAGTACCCATTTTTGCCAAGCCTAAAAGTCCATCCTCTGCTGGATTAAATCAGCCTAACCCATGAATGTGGGAGACAGTGGTCTTCAGGGCCTTTCCTGGAATTCGCTGGGAGCTTCAGTGAGGAGGGAAATCGAGCTGGCTGTGCCCGGAGAAGGGAGAGACCCCACTAAGCACTTCACACGCGTGCACACGCTCCACCTCCTGCCTCTCATCTCTCTCTGCTCTTGGGATTAGAGGCAATTCCCACTCCCACCTCCCATCCCGTGTTCCCACTGAAGCTGTGGTGAGAGAGGAATCCCAGGCAGCATGAAAGAGGGAGGTGGGGACCGTGTGGAGGGCAGGGGTGCAGGGGAACAGCAGGCCCCCAGTGAGCTCCGTGAGGTGCGATGGGGCATGGGGCCCTAATAGGAAGGGAGGAGTGCTTTGACAGTGCCCTGGGGACAGTGGGGACTGCAGGAGGGAGGCTTGAACCTTCCGGTGGGAGGTCAGGGCAGGAAGGAGGGCGCAGCCCAGCTGGGACAGAATGAGGGGTGCGCGAGTCCCCACTAAACCAGCAGAGCCAAAGTATTGCCCTGGAATCCACGTGCGCCTGGGATTCACTTTCTGAAACACCTAATTGTTCCTGGAACTTTATGAGTAGAAACTGTAAAAAAAAAAATAAATTTGTCATTCAAAATCTCTGAGCGGTTTCTATGTTGCCAAAGGTAGACATTTTAACACTCCTTTAAGGAAGATTGTGCCTTTATTCTGAGAATATTATCCAAATAGGCCTCTGGTTTGTACAAATATAAAGTAAAGCTCTCTTCTAAGGCTCTAAGACTACTGTGGGGTGAGAAGGTAAATCTGCAGACCAGACAGCGTGTGAAACTCTGAGTCGGCCCAGGAGGGAGAAGGGAGGAATGCCGGCATGAAGTCCCCTCACAGCTGGCTCCCAGGCTGGCTGGAGCGTCACCTGCAGAGGGCCATGGAGCAGGGATGCAGTGCTGGGAAGGGGACACTCCTCCCCGCCTCTGTGTAGAGCCCCAGTCTGATCCCAGACAGGACTGGCAGCTACTGGGTGGGGTCTATCTTCTAAAGTTAGTCACTGTGGGGTTAGCTTGGAGAGGAGAGGTGAGAAACAGTGGAACAGCTTGGAAGTTATGGCTGAAGATACACAGATGCCCAGCCAGCCACGACTGGGCTGGTACTCAAGGACCCGGAGAGCAGGGCTGGCCCTGTGAGGTGTTTTACACAAGGAATTTATTAGACGTGGTAGTGTTAGGATGTAGTACGTATGTATTTTTAGATGTAGTCGATTTTAAAAAATACTCCTTGCTTCAAAGCTAAAGAATGATGTCTTATTAACAGTGATCAGAAAACT